CGTCATTGTACACTCATAACCAACAGCCAATACGAGAAAAAGGCCGAATACCACGTTAAGAAATGTTATCCACACGAACATTTGAATAAAGCCGTCATTGTCCTGGAAGAAAAGAAACATATGGCAAGAAAAGTAGATGTTTTAAGTAAGCTATTATATTTATATATGTATGAAGTGAATATAATATATAACAAAAGTTCAGTTTAAGTACATTACTAGTTATAGAAATGTGTTGAATATTCTAGAAAAGGTAACAAATTTGAGCCAATAGTTTTCTTGAAATGTGAAAATAGTGTTTGAGATAAAATAAATTTATAGTTCTTTAACCTTTTCTCCTAGATATCATGTATGTTTCCATAGATTTTTTAAGACTTAAAAATATATATATGATGTATGAAAAATTAATATTGTCACATGGTATATCAGTCTTGAAAGATTTAAATTACTAACAACAAGTTGAAAAACAACAATTTACAAAATTTATCTTGTTTCGTTGGCACTTTTATTTTATTGAAAAAAATATCCTGGTTTCTTTGTTTATAGTGTGTATATTAATTATGCTTTACCATTAATGTTCCGAACAACAGTATTAGGCCAGTGAACATGAACACACAAGACATCATGCTGATACCTGACGTTACCAGGGTGTTTAACTCTCTTGATAGCATCACTTGGATCTGTTGAGTTTTTTTAATAGAATATATCAAAACAAATTATATTGGTTTTCATTTGAAACACTGATTCATTTCAAATGTGAAGCTGTTTCATTGAAAGAACAGTACTTATCCTTCGCTAAATTTCCGTTCATAATAAATAAGACTGGACAAAAATAGAGTAAAATAAAATGAATACTACAAATAATGTAAATTCATGTACTCAAGAACAACCTACGAGATTACAGAGAAAATTCGATAAGCATAAAATAGTCATAGTATAATCCAAAATAGGCAAAACTACAATCGTTTATCCAGAAAGATATTTCTTTTCCGTTATTGTCATTAGATGGGATGGAAATAAGAAAAAAACTCATGAGTTTCTCACGATAAGCAACCTAAATGATATAGTAATAAGAGTAGTTTTCTAAGCAAAATATTATATTCTTTAAAAAATATATATACATAAATTATGTAATAAGATATTTATCTTACGTCTTATGTGAGTAAGAATTTGGACTTTCCCATAGTTGAGGTCTGTACTCTTCAAGACCACACTAAGGGTAAGAACTCCAGTCATCTGAAAATATTAATTCTCGTCTTAAATGCTAGACATCAATTATTTATTTGTCTCAGAAGAAATACTTTCTATCTAGCTGTGATTTAACTAAACAATACAAACAAATAATTTAGACAATTTAATCCATAGTAAAATAAAACAGCATGAAAATGTAGGGACATTTACAGCTATTGTCTCTAAATTATTACGTACTATCGCTACCACTGATATTAAAAGCATCCCGATTCTCATAGATATTATGAAAAAACAGGAATAAACTTCCGGGAATATGTCGCACATTTTGAAAATTTATAAAATATTTTTTCTACAAACACATGATTAAAAAATTATACATTATATGTCAATTTCGACATAAAATTTTTCGACGTTTAGAAACATTCAAAAATAATATAACATAAATGTAGTTCATATATTTAAATATATTTTTATTATGTATAATTCTCTGTTAAATTAAATTCTTACCTTTGTACGTACGAACGTAATGTTCGTCAAAACAAAGACATTCGGTAACTGTTGACTATGAGCAATATATAGGCCATAACTGTAAAATGAATCATAAATTAAAAACAATGTTTTCTTACATGACCAAAAAAAGACTGATATTAAATAGTATACTTATATTTAGATAATATTAGTTTTTATTCAAGATAATTCAATAGGAAAATGTTTAAGTAAAAGCGTGTATGTATAGCAAGTGCACATTATATTTTCTTAATCATGGTTTAAAAAGGCGATAGAAGGCAACAAATCTACAAATAATATTTATATCTTAAGCCTTCTTCAATAAAGATAAATTATTACATTACATATAAGACAAGTAAGTTTGAGTATTTCAAAATAATAATAATATTAATAATAATAAATAATATTTTTGATTAAACATAGAATGTATGGCACAAAAACAGAAATTAATTACTTAGTTTTATCTTACCGCAAAGAATAATCAGAGTGACTCCGATGTATATAAGAGAAATGTTAAGACATTCATTCCAGCATGAGATAAGTAGCAGTATACAAAAAATCAATTGTATTAGCCCAACTACAACTGATAACCAGAAATATATCTGGAGCAGAATATCTCGAACATCTTCGTTCTGTTGAAAATAATCATACTTGAGATCTAAGATTTTTTCGAGTTTTATTCATTTAAATGAAACTAATATATTTTGTATATACTACGATACTTTATTTTTGTAAAAAACTGCATACTCCCGACGTTTCGGCTACTTTTCGGCAACCGTGATCACGAGCAGACGAGATGTGAGAGATACCACCTGACAGACAAAAATAAAATCGCCTACATAGTATATCCGAAAAATATTAGTTTCATTTCAATAATCATACTTATTTTAATCAAAAACAATTTAGTTTTAAATTTGTATATTAATAAAGATTTATTTGAGAAATTATAACTTAATTCTACACGACTATTTCAAAAAAACAAAACTCTAAGCTGAAAACTTGAAATAATATATTCAAAAAGTCTCTTTCAGTTATATAATGTATCGTTTATATAATGAAAATATAATTACCTGAACTAAGCCAGTCCAGACAAGAAAGATCAATATGAACGTAACTAGCCATAATACCGTGATTAATATCAACCAAAGGCTAAAATCAATTGATCCCTGAGAAGTTAACCCAACATAATTTACGCATGCAAGAGTTAAGACACATGTGGTTATTATCTGCAAAATGTATCAAAGAAGTTAAATTATAAATCATTTTATATTATAATTATTACAAAAATATTAAAGAGGGTTGATGTCAGGCAGGCCGGTTGTAAAAAAACAATTAGCCAAAACTATTCACAACATGTAAGGCAGACCCTGGCTAAAAGCTGGGAACATGCCAGGTAGAAGAAGAATTTTTTACAAAAATACATTTACATACTTAAAGCAAATAAATTACACAACGTTGTCTGGTTTCGAGTATTATATTAAGTAAAATATTATAAAGAAAATTTACCACACCAGCTAAAGATATGATGATGGCAGCTGCTCTTAGGTTAATACAAAACACGCATTTCTCAAAGTAGGGCAAACAATTTAAACACATTATACTAATAACTAACAAGATTAACTTGATACTTAAACGTGATGGAAAGAAGCATGAACATTACAAATTTATTTTGACACTGACATATTAGTTTAGAAAACTCGCTTGTGTGAAGATAATTTCAAAAGAAATGGAATGAAAATCTGTTTAATATGGTTGGGTAGATATCTGAATGTAATATTCTTTGATATCTACCCTTTTTGGGATTATTGGTAAAGTATGGCTTCCAGCTTTATCGACCAGATGAGCATTAATTAACGATGTCATATATTTTTGAGCTCAAATGTAATTTATATATTCATTTGACTACATTGTTTTAAAAATTTAAATTTTGCATATGCACATGTTTTTACAATCTACTAGTATATACATTGTTTGAATGTATATAATATACAGGGTGACTGGTGAATTACTATCAATATTTAAGGAGAATACTCGGTACATGATTCTCATTCGAATTATGTAAAAAAAATAGGCACTTAATTTTTGATTTCCGTATAAAAAATAAAGTGTTGACACGTTCCAAGTGTTCCAAGTGTGGACGCGTGTTAATCTGTAGGGTGTTCACACGATGCGTAATTAATTACACAACTTTTGTTTTATTAATATTTATGTTAATAGTAATTCACCAGTCACCCTGTATATTAATTTATTATAAAAATAAAGTTCATTGTTTAAAATTGAAAACCTTATGATATTGTTTGTGTACAAGCAAATAATTTGATCATCAAATAAAATATAACGATTTCTATTAAAACATGATTAGTGTAATTAAACTCTATAAATTTTTAAGAATCCTTCGAGTTTATTGTGATTTGAACGTTATCGCATTTTATCACAGTCCAAAATCGCAAAATCATAAGCCTAAAATGCCTTATATTATTTTGGATAAGAGATAATACCATTGCACTACTGGGATAATATTATCTAACAACTAAATCGGTCGATACGTTTGAGAGTTACAATGCCCCAGACACACACACACACACACAAACACACACACAAACATCGACGTAATACTAATGGCATCCCTTTTTTTTATCGGGGGTTAAAAAGAAACAGTAAGGAGCATTGAAAGATACAAGCCTACTTATTAAAGGCTGTCAATGAAACGTGTTGTATGAAAACATTGCTAAGTAGCCTCTATTATCAAAAGATTCAATATTTGCAGGAATCGCCAAATATCATCTGAGACCAATCAAGTAACAGCTGCGAAAAACATTTCTGTGTGGTCTTTTTCACTCAATACTGTTAATTGATGAGTATTTATTTGATAAAGTAAGTTACATAGTGAAGCAAAAAGTCTGCATTAAATAGAAGGTTAGAGCCATGGCATCAAATGAATTGTAATAAAAGGTTATTTATTTTGGGATAGAGTCATCTACTATGTATATTGTAACTATTCTTCAATACGACGTTATATTTTCCGAACTATAATTAAATTTTAATAAATTATTTTCTTTAATGTTAGTCTTATATTGCTTTTAGGATAAACGAATACGTCGATAAATCCAAAAGAATATTAAACACAATTATGAATGAAAGAAACAAAATACGATTAGTTCCATTTATACATAAACAATTTCATATTCTACAAAACAAGGATATTTTTAAAGTTCAAATACTGTATTTAACATGAAAAAAGTATAAATAATTGTCATAAAATTTAAAAACATATTTATTTATTAAAAAAATCACATCAACAAAATTCAAGCGAGGATTGATTCTTGACTTGCTAGAAATTTAAGGGATAATCGGAGACTATTAGCAACTATCACGAAATACGCCGTCACTGAAACACAAGAAATACACAAAAAATAATAAAAACAAAACAGGAAAAAAATAATGTTATTGTCTAAAAACCATCAAATAAAAGGAATTGTTATAAAAGTTATCTAAAGACCATATATGAATTATATATGAAATGAATGAATGAATGAACAAATGTGAAAAAACTGTCATCGCAAAAACTAATAATATCTCAAAATCTCATTTCACTAATAATAAACATCATGGGCATGAATAATTCATATAATTTAAATCAGAAATGTCTCTACAAGGTTGAATTGGCAGGTTCGTAGCTTCGTAGAGCTTCGTAGATAGCTATGTCACCTCGTAGCTGTGCTACGTGATATTGAATTAGTGACGGAACGTACGTACGGTACTTACAATATATTTTACATATATATGTATCTGTATATAAATATATGAAGAGATTATCAGTTTTTAATACATACATGTACTTCGTGTTAATTCAAATGAGAACTGTTTTCTTCAGGTATCAATTTTGACTTAGTTTTAATTAAAATTATTTATTTTATAATACTTACATTTTTTATATTTAAGTTTTAAAATATTAAATAATCCCTAAAAATGAAGTCATGTTGGAGGTTAAATCGTTAATCTTAAATACTAGTAAGTCACACCTAAAAAATAATTAATTAATTTTAATTAAAAAATATTTTAAGTCAAACTCAGAGCAATAATAATTGTTTCTCACACAACAACATCCTCAAAAGAAATTCTAATATACCAAACCAATCCTAATTCTATCAATAAATTCAAAGGATACCTGGGTACAGTATATGTATGTATATATTATTGGAGCTTGGTATTAAATATATTAAAATTCTCTTACCCAAAACATTGCTGACCATAAGTCCGCATAGAACTATGCCAGCTAATACGCAGTTGGAGTGAACGAAGAAACAGAACATGGCCAGTACGAAGAACAGCAAGAAAACTGTCACACAATAGACCACAGCCCCCCATTGATACACTAGGATGAGGATGGGAAGGTTCTATAGGAAAAGAAAGAATATTACTACATCATACATATTTAAACAAAAAAAATAATACAATAAAAAACCTCTGTAATTTGTGATCGGAAAAATGGTATTAAATCTAGAAAGAATAATTTACTCTGAAGAAATTTTAAAATCAATTAAAATAATATTGATTAACTGATTATGTTTTAATAAAATATTGTTTAAGACTACAAAAAATTTGATTATTCATTATGTTAAAATATATCTCTTGCTAAAATAGACTCCAGTTATTTTGAAAGGCTATTTTTTATTTAATTGTTACTTACATATTGCAAAGTACTCACACATATCGAGCCAACTAGCAGTAAGACGCTGGCAATACATAAAAGAATAGAAACTATGCCAAGTATTAATTGTATAGCTGCTTCAGTCGCTGCGCTGTGGTATGATAAGACGGGGTCCATGCTCCAAAAGCCTTTTGCATGACTCACGTTGGGAGCAAATAGTAAGCCTGATATCTTGAATAGAAAAAATATGTATAATGAAAGCTATAGTAAGCTACCCATAAACGACGAATTTTGATGAAGAATACAATGAAAATACTATAGTGTGATAGTAAAAATATATCTCAAAAATAATCTGTCTTTATTTAAATGTTTTTGACTTAAATTTCTATTATTGTAGTAAAAATACAGTAATTATTGAAATAAAATTGTAATGCATTGATTTTATGCTTCGAATAGGTAATTATATGTTTTTACACATAAATTGAACCTTATATGTTAAATGTAGCCTCATTATTACTTACAAATGAGAACATAGATATAACAACAGTGCCGGCTCTCAGGAAACAACAAAAGCAACAGCTTATGACCGTCGGCAAACTATCCATATTCAGCTTCATCTTTATAATATTTTTAATACACTAGAATTTAAATATATTTTTTATTACACTATGGTTTCATTGACACTTAATTTATGCAAATATTTTGACAGAGTCATTTGAATATTTACATTCATCATACACAGTTATGACAGGAAACAATTCTTCTTTTTTTCTATATTTAGAGGTCCTTCACATAAATTTTCACGATTCGCTGACAAATATATAATCTCTAGATTTAACAAGATTTTACTGATTTAAAAGGTAATAATAATAAGATTTTTCATTACCAAAATAACACTTAAATTATGCCGCGTTTATTTTTGTCAGATTATTTTACGCTGGTTTATTTTTGTTAGTTTATTTTTATGCCTGTTTATTTTTGTAACAAAACTGAGTATAAAATTGTACAGTTGCAGTAACTTAAGAACAAAATAAGATTCACGGGAATTCGTTTTTATCTGTCTGTCAGTCTGTCTTGTTAGCGTGTCAATCTTAATTCCCACGAGGTACTAAAAGTGACAACAAAGAAAAAAACATTCAGTGTATTGTAAAACCTCTAATATCGAGTAAATTGTGAATTAGGAGTCTAATCCAAATACGAGAAGCATTTCGACTACCAATTATATATTTATTTATAATTTTTAATATATTATTATGTACAGCTTAATTGGTATAAAATTGCTAAATTATTATAAGAAGGGAATGAAGATTGATGTATTTTTTAATATCGAAAAGGAAATTAAATAATATTTATCTTACGTACATATTTTAAGCTATTTATTGAATAGTTTTTAATTAAAAGTAAAAAGTTTGATAGCATAAATCGAAAATATATAAGACCTCTTTACTTTTTCAATCTCAGGCAGCAGAATCTTAATATATAATAGGAATATTTATGTGGGTCCTAACATAGTTTAGTTGTTTGACATTATATTACACCTGGCGAGTTTCACTAAATTATTTTATCAAGCAATTTACAATTCAAAATGCATGATTCAGGGTCGGTGGTAACGTAAACATGACTGGGTTTCTGTGATATATTGTGAATAACATTAAAAACGATCGTTTTTTTTATTGAAGTGTTTTATTTATTTATTTTATGTAAAGTATATCTGCTGGCACGGTTTTTATACTTAATATAAATTAACAGGTAATTGTGTTTTTGATGTTGCGTGTATGGTGTATGTTCTTTAATATAGGAGATCTTTTACTATAATAAATAATAGATATCAACACATATATTTCTATATGTTCTTGCAATTATCATAAGTGCTTGTAATTTATATTTCGTATGATATATTAAATTTATAATAATAATAGTTTTGAAATGTATGGTCGTAAGTCTACTGGTGCGGAAAGCGCAGAGTTTCTTGTTAATTTGCATCGAAATAACCATAACAGAATCAAGGACCTTACACAAATTTATGGAATAAATTAAAATCGTAGTTGAGGTGGGTACAAGAAATTAATTAATGAAATTGCAATCGTTTTAAAAGGGGCGGATGATTTGAATGAAGTTCTGCTTATTATGAAGCTGGCTATTTGCCAATAATGCTTGTGGAGTTGAAACATTCTGGTTAGCTATAGAAGAGTAAGCCACACTTTATTCATACAAGAAGATTGTTTATTTCTGTTGCATAAACTTTTACCGCATTCAAGATTAAGTACGAGCTAAAATTATTATAATTACTTATTTTACTAAAGCCAGTATATGCAAATGTTTTTCTGTCTCGTGAATTCTTGTTGAGTAAATATATATATGATATAGTTGTGATTATTAATTTCATATACATATTGCTATGAAAGATAATATAAGAGTCTGGTTATTTTTTATTTATATTCTAGGATAAGTGACATATAAACCACTTCAACATTTATCTTGATTTAAGGCCAATAGTGGATTGGGCTCTTTATATAGTACCACTTTAGTTTATAACCAGAATATTGTAAAATGTCTATTATGCGTGTTATTTTAATAGAGTAACTCAATAACAGCCAGTGAAGTAGAACCCCGCTGTGATGTACATTCCACGCGGTTACGGTTGGCTGTAATGAGACGTGTTGGTACTGTTAGAGAGGAATTTTACTCACAAATATATTCATATATAATAGCAAAAGGGTTATTAGGGATAAATATTAAGGTCATTATATTAATGTATTAAAAATTCATACCTTTTTAAAAGATTATTATAAACAATATTATTTTATCAAATAGCTTTACTACATCCTAATGTAGCCTTACGCCTTAGTCCAATAATTTAGTGTTTTATATTTCAAACTGTTGCGACATTTATTTTTTAATTTACCGACTGTGTATTCGGCAGGTATAAATTTTGGAATAAATGTATTAAATGGGAAAGAAGTGTATATAGAATTTAAGACATAGAAAGAATTTTTAAACGTTTATTAATATTATCACCTACAACTGTTTTGCAATCGAAGTGTAAGAAACAAGTTATTCAAACCTGACATTATTGTATTATACCAAATATTATTTATTCCCTTACATTTTCATAAGAAACTTGCTTCTTAAGGATGTAACAACTTAGTGTCTATGTATGTATATGAGTAATGAAATACATATATTATAATACTAGTATGTATGGAATGTCTTTTTTTTCTTGAAATATAATTTTATTATAATATAATTTTAGTTGTTTTTGTTAGCTGTACAATAAAGTAACTTGATACTAGATCAAATAAGTGACATGAAGCGAACACGGAAATGTGGTTTTAAACCACGATGTACTTATGACAAATAATAATTTATTATTTCGGTACAAAATCTGATTATTTTTTTTTCTACCACTACACATTATATTACATTACTTCTGTCAAACCATAGCTATCTAGAAAAAAAGGCAAGATTTAATAATTTCTTATAGTTGAACGTATTCAATATTTATATTATATTGTCAAGATTGTTAAATGAAAAAAAAAAATATATATATATATACAAAATTTGTATTGCGAACTATACCCCTAATTACGCGCTCCAATGAACATGTGTAATGAATTTAAGGTAGAATGTTTATACGATGTGGTTCTTAACATCAAATTCTACGCTACCTTATATTTATAATGGAATATTTTCTAAAAATAAATATGAAGAAAAAATTCTTCATCGACTCAATAATGAAATTCGAAACTGATTTTGACTTCAAAAGAATTTAATGCAACGAAACTCGTTAACATAACTTTGTTAGAAATCTATTTCGTTGTAAATTATCTTTCAATTTGTGCAAAATTTACTGATTTTCAAGTGAAATTCTCGTAAATCGTCCCAGCATCCAAAAACGTAATGCTTCGTTGTTTGTAGGGAGAAACTAATTACTTTATAGAATGCTACTGTATTTAGAAGACACTATCGACAATAATGAAGAACAATCAAGATAGCTATAGAGCCTAAATATTCTGTTTACAGCTCGAACATGGGCTGGCTCGACTAAACCACCCTCTCACGAATAAGTAGCCTTTAATAGCTGCGTTTCGTCCGATGAGTGAGAGAGCCGGTTGCCATTTCCCTATTCAAACCCTTTTCTACCATTTCGTTAATAATATATGAATAATTTACCACTCTGTTTTCAAATATGAAAGCCTTTTATTTTAATGATAATGCAAAGTATATGTAAAGCTAGTTAATGTTACTGTTATTCAAAGATTTAATACGCAACTGACTTCTATTTAAGTTTTATTTCCAAATATTTGAGTTTTTGTGCAATTTAAATTAATGGTAATCTATTTCAGTGTCTCTATATTTTCAATACACTTTTCTTAAAGATTATTTGGTGGTTTCATCATACATTACTTTGTAAAGAGTCTGGTGATAATTTCACGAAAATTTCTTTTTATTATTCAAAAGAGATTACATAACGATTGATATGAAAATTCACCTTGCTATAATTACGCGTATGTAATACATAACTTGCAGATTCAGTGAAAATTGCAAACCAATCTTGAACAACTACTCAACTGAAATGTTTTATTCCATTAGTTAGTTTCCCGCGATCGTATTTTAAATAAATTTTTCAGCTATGTAGTAGTACAATATTTTTAGCGAAATCATTATCCTATACAACAATATCAAACAACATATTTTAAAAATCAAAATAAAAGGAATGTTTTTGTGTTTAAAATTTCAAATAAACTCAATCAGGCCACGTAACAAAAGAATTGTACAGACAGACTGAAAGTAGTGAAACTAGTAAAAAGGTATTTCAGCTCTGAACTCAGCTGGCTGCCGTGAGTGTTAGTTAGTACACAAAAAGGTAATAAAAGAGGAGTACAAACAGCCACTCCCGTCAGTTAGAGATAGGATTAGGAAGAATAGGATTGAAAACTAGTTGAAATACTGGCGATTTTATTTACTTTAAAAGAATTTATTACATTTCTAAATAAGCGGATATAATTAATATATGAAACTTATTTTCGAATTGTAACTGCTTTTAATTTTCATAGCAAAGGCATCTTAGCATTTTTTTCGTATCATATTATCTTTCTCTTTCCATTCTATCTCAATATCTTTTTTAATATAGTTGGTCATACAATCACTTTATCTTTGAAGATTCTATTTATAAAATATAGAATAAATTATTACACCTTTCTTTATGTACTTACGCTATTATATGTCATATCGTATTAAAAAACGTTACACGAAGAACAGAATGTATATAAACGTAATTGTTAGGATTCTCTTTTATCGCTCCACCGAGGTTCAATCGGCTGCAAACGGATATTGAATTTCTTATACGATAAAAATAATATATAGAAAATTATTATAGGCTTCGTTGTATTATTAAATTATATTAAAAAAAAATCACTTAGTGCCTTGTGACTTACTTCTAAGACCAAGACAAAAGCGGTCACGTTTCAAAAATCTTACATAGATATACTCAGGAGGCATTCTGACAGCGTTCTGTGCTGTGGGGGAACCAATTAAATTGTTGAATTTTTTGGAATATACATACTTTTCATAACTCGTCTACAGCAAATTCATATGAGTAAAGACATTAAATGCA